TTCATAGGGAAAAAGGTTTTAATTTTAATTTAGTCCAGCTTATCGATTATTTCTTTCATGAATTATGCTTTTTTGTGTTTATCTAAAATGTCTTTGCCAAACCAAAGGTCATCTCAATTTTCTCCTAGGTTATCTTCTAGGAGTTTTATAGTTTTGCATTTTACATTTAGGTTTGCGATTCATTTTGAGTTAATTTTTGTGAAAAGTGCAAGGTCTGTGTCTAGATTCAGTTTTTTGCGTATTGATGTCCAGTTGTTCTAGCATCATTTGTTGGAAATAACTATCTGCTCCATTGCATTGCCTTTGCTCAGATATCAAAGATCAGTTGACTGTGTTTGTGTGGGTCTATTTCTGGGCTCTCTGTTCTGTTCTGTTGATCTGTTTCTCTATTCGTTTGCCAATATCACACTGTCTTGATTACTGTAGGTTTATAGGAAGTCTGGAAGTCAGGTAGTGTCAGTCATCCTTATTTTCTTTTCCTTCAACATTTTGTTGGCTCTTCTGGGTCTTTTGCCTCTTTAGGCAAACTTTAGAATCAGTTTGTTGATATCCATAAAATAATTTGTTTGGATTTTGATTGAGATTGCATTGATCAATAGATCAATAGACCAACAGAGATCAAGATGGGAAAAACTGACATCTTGATAATATTGAGTCTTCCTATCCAAGAGCAGGGAACATCTTCATTTATTTAGTTATTCTTTGATTTCTTTGATCAGTTTTGTAGTTTTCCTCATATAGACCTTATGCGTAATTTGTTGGATTTATACTTAAATATTTCAGTTTTGGGGGTGCTTATGAAAATGATTTTGCATTTTTAATTTCAAATTCCACTTGTTCATTGCAGGTATATAGGAGAGTGATGGACTTTTGCATATTAATTTTGTATCCTGTAACTTTGCTGTAATTGCTTATTAGTTCCAGGAGTATTTTTGTTAATTCTTTTGGATTTTCTACACAGACAGTTATGTCATCGCGAACAAAAACAATTTTATTTCTTCTTTCTCAATTTGTATACCGTTTATTTCCTTTTCTTGTCTTATTGCATTAGCTAGGACTTCAGTACAATGTTGGAAGGGAATGGTGAGAGGTAAAATCCTTACCTTGTTTCTAATCTTAATGGAAAAGCTTCTAGTTTATTCCACTCTTTTAAAAAATGCATGCTGTTCTTCTAAAGGAAATCTATTGAGTTTTTTATGTTACTTTTGAACCCAGACCCCCTAATTCCCCTTCCACTTGTAGGAATTTTTCAGATGTTTCTATTGAGCTTTCTAGGCATATAATCATATAATATGCAAATAACTGTAATTTTACTTCCTTCATTCTTCTTATTAAATAATGTAATTATTTGTCACATTTAATTGGATTGGTTTGTACCTCCAGAAAATTGTTAAATAATAGTGTTTATTTTTTCTTGTCTTTAATGAAAATATATATACGATTACTTTGTAAAGTTTGTTGCTGACTTTACGGTTCATATAAATAAATGTGTATATTTATATTTTTAACATACTATAAAGGTAGCATTGTGTGTCAGTGGAGAAAAGTTAGCTCAATCAATAATTAATTTTGGAACAACTGGGAAAAAATGGATCTCTAACTCACTCCATGTAGAAAAAATATTCCAAATAGATCAAAGATTTAAATTTATAAAATTAAACCATAAAAATGCAAGAAGAAAATGTACTAAATGATATCCAGGGACCTGGATGCTTTCCTAAGCCTGACATAATATCTAGAAGCCAAAGAAGAGTTAGAGTTAGATCATCATATTAGTATTTTAAAATTTTTAGTTAAAAAATTTTTAACCTGTATCGCAAAAACACCTTAATGTTAAAAAAAATTACTTTTTTTAAAAGACCCCACATCCAAAATTAAATGGTTCGTGTAGTAAAAAGGTACTATAGGAGGCAAGCCCCATGGCTGAATGGTCAAGTTTGCATGCTCCTCTTCAACGGCCTAGAGCTTCACCAGTTTGGATCCTGGCCGCGGACATGGCACCACTCATCAAGCCATGCTGAGGCGGCATCCCACATGCACAACCAGAAGGACCTACAACTAGAATATACAACTATGTACTGGGGGGCTTTGGGGAGAAAAAGGAAAAATAAAATCTTTTAAAAAATAAATAAATAAATAATTAAAAGGTACTATAAATTAAAAAGGAAAAGAAATGAAAACATGAACTGTTATTTAAATAGGCAGTTACAGAAAAGAAAATAAAAGATAGCTCTTAAACGTGAAAAAAGTTCAGCTCTCTCATAGAAAGAGAAATGCAAATTCAAACTGTAATATGACCCCATTTTTACCCCAATCAGATTCGAAATATTGAAAATATGAGAACACATTATGTGTTGAGGATGTAGATGAACAGGCACGGTGTTACGTTGCTGTCAGCAGGATCACTTGGTGCACGTTTCACAGAGAGGAATTTTGCAATAATATCACGATTAAAGATTCACTTTTTGTCCAGCCGAGTCTACCCTTAGAAACTGATGCCATAAATATATCCACATATATGTGAAAGTATGTGTATAAAATATTTTAGTTGCACCTTTATTTATAGTAGCAAAAGATTGGAAACAACTTGAACAACTATCACTGGGAAATTGATTCAATGAATTATAGCAGGTAAAACAATGGAAAACCATGTAGCCAATAAAAAGAAAGAGTTGAATCTATAAAAACTGATAAGGAATTAACTCTAATATATGTTTTATGTGAAAAATGCAGGATGCAGAACAGTTTGTTTAGTAATATACTGTGTGTATGTGTTTTTAAATTGAAAATGTGTGAGTATACATACACTCATGTGATTGGCATGTACCTATTACATACCTGGAAAAATATATGGAGTCAGATAACAGTGGCTACCTTTGGGAATGGGAATTAAGTGCTGGAGAAGAGGGTGAAAGGGAGAATTTACACTGTATTTTCTTTTAAAGATTTTATTTTTTTTCCTTTTTCTCCCCAAAGCCCCCCAGTACATAGTTGTATATTCTTCATTGTGGGTCCCTCTCGTTGTGGCATGTGGGATGCCGCCTCAGCGTGGTTTGATGAGCAGTGCCATGTCCACGCATAGGATCCGAACCAACGAAACACTGGGCCGCCTGCAGCGGAGCGCGTGAACTTAACCACTCGGCCACGGGGCCAGCCCCTATATTTTCTTTTAAATGTTTTGCATTTATATCATTTATACATATTTTCTATAAAAAACACTAATTAGTTAAAAAGCCATACGTAATCTATGTCATAATACTTCCCTTATGAGAAAATGCACCATATTTATTATCCCTAAACTTCTATTTCCGAATAAATAAATGCCAATATTTTCCTGATGCCTTATGGAAGAAATAGAGTTTTAAGGCAAAACATTCCTTTTCCATTGATTTAGATTTATTGATTTAACTTTCCTGTTCTTCCAGGCCCTAAACTGATTGCAGGTAGATTGTAAGAACTTCTGAAAGTTTCGTTAGTTCACTTAACAGATAGAGGGTACACATTTAGTCTTGAATCCACTCTTGTTTCTGATTACCCACTGAAAAATATGGTCATAAACCTCACCGCCATGGGAACCTCCTTCAGTGAAATTTGAGGTCCCTATAGGACTCCTCACAAAATAGTTATGGCTGCAATCTTATTATTGCAGTTCGTATACACCAAAGCTGCAATTAACTGTATCATTGCTTGCTGATCTTAATGAGTTAATGCAATGTCCAAATGAAACTTGTGGCCAAGCAGTAGTTTAGGCTCTGGGAAGTTTTGGCTCAGTAATATCTGTGAAATTTGAGCTTTTATTAAATACGCTTTAGAACAGTACATTTGGGATTTGGCCTCTGGCATCAGATCAGGTCTGACTCTGATATAGGGAGCTGAGAGTTTGCCTCAGGTCCTCATAATATGTTTAGCACTATAGGACTATAGAATCAGCAAGAATGTCATTCTTGCTTTAGCGAAGAAAAACACTTCAGTTCCTATTGAGCTTATGGCACCCCGTCTTCTTTCTGATCATTTTTTCCCGAAATAGGGAAATCCAGTTGTCTCCTGCACCTACAGCTATCTTTTCCCACCTGTGCCCCAGTCTAGTAATCTCTTTCCAGCTGAGTCTTTCTCTCATTCTTAGCCATATAAATGGCATTTGTCAAACCTTGGACCATCTCATTCTGTATGTGCTCAAGATAGCCAACCTTAGCGTGGCTGATGACGTGAGCAGGTCACAGTTGCAGTTGTCTCAATCTCAGAATAGATGAAGACTCCATCAGGACAGCAGGGACTATTTGATTGGGCATCAAGGCTGGCTGCAGCAAACTGTTCTCACCAGCTTGGTCAGGAGCCACCTGTCAGGACTAAAGGGTTGGATTTTATATCCTCTCAGAGACAACTCCCTTTCCACTTCATCCTGTTGATGAACTAACCATTGCCTCTACGGGGCTAAATCCTTATCTTCTGGGTGGCTCACAGGGTGAACAGCCCATTAGGGACATGGTGGTATTTAGTCTAATGTACTCTAATTAAGGCTATACTTGAACTACTTTCTTAAGTTATGGCACAGTTCCTGTACTGGCAAAGCACAGGAATTACTAAACATGGGACACTTAACAAAACCAGAGATAGAAAATACGTCTGTTAAGCCAAACTTATAGAAGCAGAAAGCAGAATGATGGTTGCCAGGGGCCGAGGGAGGGGGAAATGGGGAGTCAGTATTCAATGGTATGAAGTTTCAGTTATGCAAGATGAACAAGTTCCGAGATCTGCTGTACAACTTCGTACTTATAATACTGTCTTGCACATTTAAACATTTATTAAAATGGCAGGTCTCATGTTAAATGTTCTTACCTCAAAAAAATTTATATCTAGTAATTACATTTCAGTTTAATTAGAAACAAAATTTCAATCCTTTAGTTCATATTTCATGACAAGAGTTTATAGATATTAAGATCTTCCCTTAATCTCCTTAAAATACCAGCATTCTTTTATTCTTTTTTTTTTTTTTTTTTTAGGACTTTCATATGCAGAGTAAATGGTAATTAAAATGTGCAGGATGACAAGATGGAGCAAACAGTGCTTGTACCACCAGGACCTGACAGCTTCAACTTCTTCACCAGAGAATCTCTTGCGGCTATTGAAAGACGCATTGCAGAAGAAAAGGCTAAGAATCCCAAACCAGACAAGAAAGATGATGATGAAAATGGCCCAAAGCCAAATAGTGACTTGGAAGCTGGAAAGAACCTTCCGTTTATTTATGGAGACATCCCTCCAGAGATGGTGTCAGAGCCGCTGGAGGACCTGGACCCGTACTATATCAATAAAAAAGTGAGTGTTTTTTATCAGGCTTATTTTACTGCTAATTGCCTACTGCATACCTTGGACTCTTATAGCACCAACATATGCTGAATTAGCACAAAAGTCTTGAGTATCCTTCCGTTCAAGAAGTAAAACACATTTGCTTATGTTTTATGCATATATAAGAAACGCTAATTGATTATATCGTAACAGATGGTGCTGTCCTACATGTGCCAAGACAGATAAGTTGTAGGCAGCTAATTTATCAAATTTAAAAAATCAGAGATTTTATTTACCATACGGTTTTATGTGTTTTCTGCACTTGAAAATCCTGAAATTATCACAAGTTATAAAGACTTCAAAAATATTACTGTTCCTTTCTCATGGAACAAAATTTGACGCCACAGGGTTTTCAATTTCTATGCCATGTTATATATAATAAATCAGTTAATTTCCTGAAGAAACTTTTTTCCACTTGGAAAAGAACATTCTTGTATAAACTACAATTTTAAAAATTATTCAATCTTTTGATGAAAATATATTAACATTGCCAAGAATTAACAAAAATGTAGTATTCTGAAGAACCCATAAATGATATCTGAATGACTGCATTTTCTATGTCCATACTTGAAATGAATACCTTGTATGAAGCAGCCAACTTTTCATTATGACCATAATTTCATCAAACCAAGAAGAAAAACAAAGAAAAAGATAAAATCAAAAAGATTATTGTATTTATTTTAGATTAAATTTATGACTAGTTAATTTGCAATATTTTATCATCTTTTCACCTGACACAATACATTTGTGAACTCTTGGTGGAAGGGTAAGGCACAAAGATTGTAATTAAGCAAATGAAATTTTTTAGCTGGACATGGACCTTAAAATACGCCCCCCCCCCCCCCCCGATTTTGAGAGTTGCTGGCACAGTTCTGTATCAAATTAGTCCTCTTTAAATGTATAAGTTTGGCAATTGTAATATGTAGATTTTATAAATCGCTTCTCAGTGACTACTACAGTTTCAGAGGTAAAACCTCACTATATTCAGGTTTTTTTAACTTTTCAGGATATAGACAGTTTAAGTGTAACACACTTTCCCTTTTTAAAAACTGATTTGCCTATTTTACAGTAAGGGAAGAGATAAAGAATCATTTTCCATAGATTTCATTATCTTTTATTAACTTTGCTTTTTAACATAATATTGTTAAATCTTAATAGGTAAGAGATTATCCATTTCATAACTGCCACTTAAATTATGAGAAAAGTTACACTTTAGCATTAAATCAGTCCTTTAGAAATTAATTTAATATGATATCTGAAGAGCTAAAGCCTAAATTAAGTAAACAATGAAGGGTTTCTTTGTATAAGGAAAGTAAAAATGCAGGTAATCCAATTATTCAAGCGTTTTAACTTATTTAAAATTACTTCATTTTTGAAGTAATGACTCTGATGTGTTCGAGACAGAAATTCATTCACATCATAGAATTTGCTACTTTATTCATAGCCATTGGGCATATTCAGTCTGTTCAGAGCTGCTCTTATCAGGGGTTAGTGGGCTCCATCCTCAGCAGGTCTTTTCTTACCCCCCAGACATCCAACCTCCAGTTTTCCAATAGTAAACACCATCTAAAAATTATTATAGTCACCCAGAGTCTACCCCTTCATCAAACAGGGCCGAAGTTTAGCATGTCAGCTCATATGCTGTGTCCTTATTAGTAGAACGATAAATGAATACTTTGAGAAAGACCAAACTAATGCATGTTGACAAGGGCAGCAATTCTTCTTGTGGAAACCAGATTATCCAATCAATCTTTTCCTTTAAATTGAAGAGTTTCAGACTGATAAAGCTTGTTATCTTGAGGGGATGTCCCCAAACAAAATGGTCCATGATTGATTTATAATGAATCATCTATAACAAAGGATATAAAGACAGATGGAAATCAAAATTATGCAAACTCTCTCAAATAGTTAAGAGAAAGCTCTTAGAAACTGAAGGTGAAAGACCAACTCTGAAGGAATGACTAGTCAGCCAGATTCTTGGGCTGAAGTAACCCTTATAAACTTTGTTAAGTTCACATTCAAACTTGCCGTTAGCATCTTCCATCCTTATCTTCAAATGCACATTGTGCGAGGAGGGAAAACATTTTGCCATTCTGGAACAAATCATAGTGTGCAAGTAGAACAACTTGCTAAGAGAAATATCGTTATCAGGAAGGAGTTTTCCCCAAGGTCAGGCACATCCATTGCTTTCACACTGAGCTGACATCAAGTAAGTCTTCAAATGTAAGCCATTCAACAGCAAAACAAATGAAACTTTTTGCAGGACTGCAATGCTTAAAAACTAACATGGCAAGCTTAGGATGCATAATTGAGCTAGATATTTGAAATTTCCCTCTTTTACATTTTCACGTTTTAAAATTTTCTACAGTTGCCTCTACACTGTTTTCTAGTCTCAAATTTTCTTTCATAATTGGATTATTTCAATATTGAGGAATAGTCTTAAATTCTGAATTAGTTTGCTCTGATTAAAGTTAGAATGTGGGCTGGCCCGGTGGCATAGTGGTTAAGTTCACGTGCACTGCTTCGGCAGCCTGGGGTTCACAGGTTCGGATCCCAGGCACGGACTTACACACCACAGCTCATCAAACCATGCTGTGGTGACATCTGACACACAAAACAGAGGAAGATTGCCACAGACGTTAGCTCAGGGCAAATCTTCCCCACCAAAACAAACAAACAAACAAGAAATAAAGTTGGAATGCTTAGAAAAATAATAGCCTTTTAAAACTAATGAATATTTCTTTTGATATTTGATGACCAATTTTATTTTAGTGACTTGCATATCTGAGATTGGCAGGGTGATCTTCATTAAAACAATGCAGTACGCACACAGTGGTCCTGCCGTAGATAAAGGGTCTAATGGTGGAAGTGTCACTGAGGAAAATAACTTCTTAGGATACGATTTCTCACCATTATTGGTAGTGGGGATGTGGATTTTATTGCCTGGATGAATTGGAATATGCAAACATCAGTCAGGTCAGTGGTTTCTCTAAGGTTTAACTCAAGTACAATAATTAATATGTCATTTGTATCTATATAGAAGATCTCTGATTTCTTTTTTTAATAATATATAGAATAAACAAAACAAGCCTACGATAAAAATGGTTGAAAAATCTATTTTTATGCTATATTTTAGATTAAAGTACAGTGGTATACATAAAAGGAATTCATGTGTAAGGAATAGAAGTGACATGAACCACACCGAAGTTCTCTGGGATCTCCTACAAAGACAATGTCAGTGAGTTTAAGGAAATGTCACTGCTGAGAGTTTATTTTCAGATGGCGTATGCCCACATAGTTTGTTCTTCTTTGCCCCAGTTTAAAATTTACAAATTATGTAATGTTCAAAAATTCTCCTAAAATTGTTAAAGTAGTTTAATCCATGGTCAGTGATATTGTAGTAGTAACTGAAGAAATAGTCGCAACCATCTCATGAACATTCCTGGTGCACGGAAACATTTTCAGACTCTCAGATATTTTAAGCCTTCAGAAGTCCAAGGTAAAAACTAAGGAATGAAATAACAGTGCTTTCAGAATAGAGTCACAGAATTTTCTCTACCATGTTAGCCCTGGTCTTGTGGTCTTCAGAACATGATTCCAGGTTAGGTTCCTTTTGTTTGTTTATTTACTTTAGCTGTGTGCCAAGGCACATTTTATCCTGTGAACACACCTTTTTTTCCTTATGAGATTTTTTTTTCACAGTTTCCTTTCATAGCTTGGGTTGATTTTGCACCATTTGGCTGTACGTTCAAATTCTTCACCCACTCTTTAGTACAGAAAACTTCTCCCTTCTCATGTTCTTCTTAAAATTACAGATGACTCATTCGTACCATGAAAGGAAATATCTTTTTTGACAGTGTAACAGTGTACTGGAAATAGAATGAGGTATTTTGGATCTATAGTGAAAATGGATGTTTGTTAATTATGGAATGTAGAAATGTATCCATTTAAAAATGTTCTTTCTTTGATTGCCCCGTGGACCATTTAAAAACAACTTGTTCTCCCTTTTTGTCAGCTTTTCTAAAAACGATGCATAATCCCTCTTTATGAGGGCTGCGTGAAGGGTCATACATGAACTTGGGATTTCAAGTCCGTGCCTGGTCTGTCATTGCTGCCGAAGTTTGTAGTTGTTATATTGGGTAACGAGAGTTATTTGTTTTGTTTTTAATTGGGCTTAGGAAGTTTTCTTGCAAAAGTAATTTAATAGAAAATCAAAAAAGTAGATGATAAATGAAAGTTTGTGATTCCATGAATTGTTATATGAATACTCCCCAATTTACAATTTTTCTTTGCATATTATTAGCTCCTCTAGAATTACCAGTCACCCAGGATCTCCCTTACATCCAAGGCGTTATAGTTGACTTCCAAATCTTTCTCCTCCCCACCTCTTATTTCTTCCTTATGCACCTTTCTTTTTTATCACCTTCCCATCTCTGTCTCAGAAACAATCCCAAGATGATGATGGTAGTAAAATAATGGTTGGCATTTATTAAGGACCTGCTGTATTAGTAAGAGACCCTTTGACTGAAAGTGACCAAAACCCAACAGAAACTAGCTTTTGAAAATAAACAAACTAATTAATTAATTACTTAATGTATCTGCGAGGTGAAAATATGTTTTCTGCACATGAAGTCTTAGAGGAATGATATCAAACAGGAAAATTCCAATGTGAAAGTTGGCCCTTCTTTCAAATGTACAAGTGTTCATATGTGCATATATTTGAGAACCAGACAGACACACATTTTTAATATTTTAATTCTTATATTTCTGTGGCACTTTGGAATTCATCAAGGGCATTCACGTCTTTTATTTCACTTCACCCTCAAAACAACCCTGAGGTTAGTATTGTCATAATCTCCATTCAGATACAGAAATCGACATGGAGTAATTAGCTCCAAGTTCTCACACAGCAAGTCTGCATTAAAGCTGGGCCTCAAATTAGTCCTTTCCAGTCAATGAAAAAGCAACTG